CCCCCCCCCGCCCCGGCCTGCCCGGATGGTGCCTGTAGGTGTGGCCGTTTGGGGTTGACTGGATCCCCTTGGTCTGGGCCTCTGCGTAGGTGAAGCCTTCGCTACCTTATTTCTTCTGGGGGGAGGAAGCTGTGGTTTGGAAAGGGCACCTCTGTCATCTTCGTTGTGATTGACCCTGGACTCCCTTTCATCTCCTGTGCTAGCGGTGTGTTAGGGATGTCTGCATGTGACAAGTAGGCGACTCCTTGAAGAAAATTGTAAAAGCGCTGACTCTTTGCATGAGTTCTCACGAGTCTTTGCATTAGTCCCACGTGTGAGAGCAGAGAACAGCTCATGTTGACATTTGGGTGACAAATGCTGAGAGCTGTGCTTTAAAGGGGCCAAGTGCTTTCTAGAAAATAAAAGATTCGCATTCATCTCTTCATGCTCCCCTCCCCCGACAGTTGATCTCCTGGTTTGGAGCGCTGATTAATTCTGCTCCTTCACCCTAATGACAGAAGAAACACAAAAAGTATAGTTAAAGTTACTACCAGTGCCCCGCGGCAAAGCGTCTTCTTTGGAATAGCACAAATCAGTTCTTTAAGTCAAAGTGACAGATTACGAATATTCTAGTTACCTCGTATAATTGGTCAATCAGAAAATATTAAATTCTGTTTGATGTTTCCTTTTCATTGAAATTTTTCATCATAAAAATGTACAAAGTGGAGGTGGAACTAACTTGTAAAAATAACTGTTGCTTGGATGATAACTCATTCTTGTTAGTACTCAGGCATTAGGGGTGGGCAGGGTTTTCAAAGCTACACTTAGGTGTCAAGTGAAGTAACAGACTGTTGGCAGTTGGAGTGTGGGTGAGAGAGGCCTGCCCCTCCCAGTGCCTTCCCTCCCTGTAGGTCAGAGTCCAAGGGGGGAAACAGAGGGACAGAGGTTTCACCGAGTCCCTGAGGGCCAGTCAGGCCTTGCATGTTTCATCCTCACAGCCACCGTGAGCGCGTGTTGAACTTGGTTTCAGTAAACTCAGTCTCGATATTCCTTGTCAGGACAGTTTTGTAAAGAGACGTGGATGTTATTGTAATTAATTTACTCACTTAAGGGTACCAGAGTTTCAGTTTTATCTGCTGTGGGGAATATTAAGAACACATAGCCTTCAGAGAGATTGTTGCAGCAAAGGCAGTGGACCCAAGAACAGTGAAAAGCACTAGTTAGTTCTGTACAGCTTAGAATAGTCATAACGTCGAAGTAACATCATTATTATAGTTGAAAGGAGAGAAAAGTGATACGACACCAAAATTGGCGTGTGTGCAAATGGTTTCAAGAGATCTTTTGAGATAGGTGTTACGCTAGAGATGCTTATTTCTAAAGGTTATTTTTTCTTGTATTTTCAGCAGTGTATGTCTGTCTGTTCTGCTTTCACAGAGAATTTGTTCTCCTGTGGGTCTAAGGTTTGGCTGAAGTGTCAGTTCTCATTCCGGGATAGAACACCTTTCCTCCATACCTGGGCTTTGGGAATGTTTGCATGGGGCTGGTGGCTTAAGAGGAACACTCCTGAGGCTGCTGAGGTCTAGCGCAGGGGTTCCCGTCCTTGGTGAATAGAATTATTGGATGGTGGAGAAAGGGGAAAAAGTCCAGGGTAGCAGACGGTGCTGTGTGGACCGGGTTGAGTTCTGGGAAGGCTGATCCTGAGCCGGGTGGCAGCCCCAGAGATTTGGGCTCTGGACGTCTGGTGGCCGACTTTGGCAGAAGTGCTTTGGCACAAGGGATGTTCTTAGAAGTTTAGATTTTGTTACTTGAGGGCACTCTTGACCTGGGACAGAATATATGGTTCTTTGGAGTCTCAGTTTCCCCAGGTGGAAAGCGAGCTTGACCATTTTGTGAAGCGCTGTGAGATTGCGTTGGGAGGAGCGGTGCGCACCACTGTCAAGTAGCGTTTATTCACATGCTGTCTCAGCTCCATTATGTTTCTCACTGGTTTCCAAGCAGTATGTTGCTGTGGATGTAGCAAAGTCTAAAACACAGTTTTATTCTCGTCAGAACCATGCCCAGATTGGACAGGTTCTCAGTGACCAGGGAGCCTGGTGTGGTGGCCAGCTCTGGTTCTGTGAGAAAGTTGCTGAGGTTGTCATCACAGGTGGGCCATAGACCTGGGGGACATGTCCTGGAAGCCATGGGGGACAAGGGGGTGCAGCTGTCTGCAGAGAGAGTGGACCTGGGCAGGGGGCTCACTTTAGGCCAGAGGCCTTCACTGAGTCTTTCTCTTGACATCCTTAGATAACAGTGACATTTGAAAAAAACAAAAAACTTTTGGGGAGCTGTACCCGGCCAGCACTGGGCAGCTCTGCTTAGCGTAGCAGAGCTGGTGTCTCTGAGTTTGTTTCCACACCGCCGGCTTGGAGGCGAGGCCCGTGGTGGGCAAGCAGGCGGTGACTCTTCCTTGTTCTCTGTCCCACCTTGGAACCTGGCTGTCCCCATCGTCTTTAGGGTGGACGTAGCCGTCTTGGTGACGTGGACTGGTCAGGATGATGTTGCACACATAGGTGGGTGTCTTTCGGAGCTGGTGGTTTTCACGTTTTAGCAACAGCCAGGAAAGGGGTCCCTCAGGCCCTTCCGGGGTGTCTCTTCTCACTGCGCTCCAGGGCAGTGGGCCCTGCCCTTGTGGCGGAATCACCAGAGTTTGAAGAGACAACTTTCTGAGTACCACTGCGTGAGGGGTGCGTCCTTATTTGCGAGGGCTCTGGAAGGAGGCAGTTGGGAAAGTGGTCTCCTGGCTAGGGGGCGGCTGTCTCGCCCCCCCAGCCTGTGGGGTGGAGCCTGGGCTCTGGGCGCTGCCCCCCACCCCCCACCCCCGCAGTGGTGTTTGATGGGAACTGGAGCGGCTCAGTGGAGAGAGCAGCGGCGCACCTGTTTCCTTGAAGTCGTAATGAGATGCCGGTGGCTCCTGACATGCTTCCCGAGCCCGTTTCAGTGTAAGTGTAAGCTTTCCTCATCTTAAATGATACCTTTTAAGAAAGCTTTTTCATAAATCACTAGTCGTACGTGAGTTGATCAAAACATAATTAAAACCGTTTTTGAAAATCTTGAAGCAGAGATTTTGAAGGACTCTGGAGAAACTTGCCTGAGATTTGGGGTAATTTGCATAGGTCTCAGAAGCACTTTTCCTTGTCTTCGTGTTGATAGCAAGCAGGAGACTCAGATTTTCTTGATTGTCTTGATTGATTCAGTCACCGTTCAGAGCTCTCACCTCTGAAATTTGTCTCAGGCTGGAGATTGG